CTGGTCTTTTATTGCCTATAATGTCATTCCTCGATCATTGCTGTTACGATCGATTTTAATTTGAAGCATTTCCCACCCCATCAAGACTCTCGTGAAAATCTGGAATGGGATTCTATTCATTCTATCTATGCCCCAGTGTATTACATCTTCAGAAGTATCATTTAAATTTTGCTTAACAATAATGTCCATAAGTAAATTGGAAATACGTTTTGATAGGTTACTTTCCGTTGTTTCAATAAAATCAACAATTTGGGGGACATAATCTCCTCGTAGAAGGATACGGCAGTGTTGGCCTTGTGCCGTTTGACCAAGGTTTGGCCATTGGTCAATTTGTCCGGCCAAAATGGCTAAAAAAATTCTTGGCCGCGGCCAAATGCCAATCAAATTCTAATAAGTATTAATACATTTATTAATGCCTAGTTATTTGGCCAAAATTTGGCTGTTTGACCATTTTGGCTATTGGCTACGGCCAAATACCAATACGGATAGATTTTTAATTAATGGCAGTACAATAAATATTTCGCTTGACTTGGATGGTCTAGTTGAATGAGCGCGTCGCATAACAAGCCAGTTCCATCAACTGCATCTCTTCATAACTCCGTATTGATGCTATTAGAAAGAAGTACAATAAACGTAATTTCGTTAATATATGTAAAAAAAAAAAAAATAAGAATTATGAAAAGCTTAATAGGTTAGAAGAAGGAAAGAACGCTGGATCGCGTTCATTCGTGTTGACAAAATTTATTACGATTCACTTATCAGGTTGTTCTACGAAATGTGAATGTGTTTTTTGGCAGATTTGACGATAAGAAGCAGGAAAGAAAAGCGTAAAATTAGCTTTCGGTATTATTAGCAAACATGAAAAAAAATGACATTTACCAACAGCAAGTGCTACATTCTCCTTTTCATTATTTTATTAATCTTCCTCTTCTTGAATTCCTGATGTAAGATCTTATATGATGAAGAAGGTATCATGCTCTGGAACACATTCGATGACAATTCTTACCAAAAACACGCGACGAGAATATTTTATTACAAACTAAATAATTATACAACAATATCCAAGTCATTTATTATAGTTCGAGAAACCATTCAACATATTGTAATCTAAAAGAGTTTTCATTTTTCAATTAAATAAATCTACTTTATAGATTAATCAAGTATTACTGGTACTTAATGACTTGGATACTATCGTGTCCTATTAAATGATAAATTTGAGGAAATATAAAATTGTTGAATTCAATAATATTTCGTTCTAAAACTTAAATTTTTATGTATTTCAAAAAGTGAAGCAATTACAAAATCAATTACATTTTTTTTTTAAGAAATATATGATTAGCTTTAATTACATTTATGTCTCCATTATTAAATGAGGAAGGATAGGTTCACAAGCTATAGTCGATGTAACTTTGCATTGATATTTAGCAGGATTAAATGTGTAAAAATTTATAAATATCATTAAAAACGTCGTGTGATTAATGTGACGCAGCATTAGTTATAATTTATATACATACTATATTACATCTTTCTTAAGTATCTCCTATTATATATTATCTAAAAATTCCTCTACATGCTAATACTTTAACCAAGCTAAATATATTACATATATTAAAAAAATATATGTAAGAAACAAAATTAAAAAGTACCACTTAAAATTATTTTTAACGCAATTTCTCTAATGATTGTTATAGATTATGATTAATCGTAATGTAATAAGAACGAATTGATCCCAAATCATCTAGTTGATCTAGTTGGCTTAGGAAAACCAAATCGTCATTTGATGGATAGAATGGGCATATGGATTTGGAAATAGTTAGTAATATTGTTTTGTGGGTAAATAGTTATCGAGTTTTGATAACGTTTGTCATTGTATAGATAGAATGCCAACCATAATTTCTACGCATTTGCGAATGAGAATATTTGCAGCGTTATTATTTCAGTGGTTGGTTAATTACAACAGAAGCTTGCATATTGTGCTCTTCCACGCATTCTCAGAAAATTTGTTGTGATATCTTGAAATAAGATTGGATCCACTATTTGTTGTTGTGTTGTAGTTATTTGATTAACTGACGAGTAAAAAACTTTATTTTATTTAAAAATCAAAGGTAGGTAAGTGGTTTATAATATATAAATTATTGCATTGAAAAAATAATTTTACGTATCTGACGTTTGACCCCATATTCAACAGAATAATTATTGTGGATGGAGCATCATTAAAATCTGACGCAATAATTGATCTTGTAGGCGGGTGATTGAATGTTATTTTCTAACAGGACAATATAATTTCATAGGTATCTAAACTAGATATTTGAGTACAAGAAAGTGGATTTTTGATATCTTTGCAATCCACCCGAAGCAATTAATATGCAATTTCTTATTTGTATTAGTAATAGTTAAAATCATAAATAATTTGAGTTTTGGTATTTTCTTCCCGCTCTCTTTGGACTTCTTCGTCGATTTTGAATAGTTTCTTGCTTGGCTTTAACATCGTTTTCTTGCGCATTAATTCTTTTTAAAATATTTAAATCGAGATCTAACATCTAATAATTTCTTATTTTTATCGTTAAAACAATGTTTTAAGTTTAGAATGTCTTGCTTTCGGTTTCTAATTCGAATAGTATCTCTGCCGTGCTAATTATCTAAATCATTACTACCTATTTCATTTTATAAAAGGAGAGTAGCATTTGATTTCGTCGTCGATTTTCTTTTTCTTTTTGCTTTGCTCTAAATCATAATTATTTTCATTCAAGTCTTTCAAACCTTTTTCTAAGTTATAAGTTTTTCTTTCATTGTGAAATGTTGTTTAGGTGAGAGTCTCATATTACAAAGAAATTTCAGCCCTCGAATATTTATTTATAATGAATAATGAATATTTAGAATGAACTATATCCTTTTCCATATTGTATTATTTACTTCTATATACTTAAAAAACAAAAAATTGATCCCATTTGAGAATTTGTATAAAAGAAAAGTGTCAAATATACCATTAAATTAATAAAGTTGCAATAGCGATTTGATTTAATTCCATTGAAGACAAATATATATCAATATATGTAAGTAAATTGTAAGCTCAAATTGTTTGTACCTTTATTATCAAATCGATATTTTATAAATATTAATTTAGTTCTTGAAGATTTAGCGATGACTAATATTTTAAAGTTCCTGTTCCTCATGAAGTTATATTTTAAAAGTCATGCAAGCATAAAAAGAGAAACTACACCACTGATGCGATATATCTTGAATTTTTTGTTATTTTTGTACAAATCCTTATTCATATACTGTATAATAATTATAAAAAATACTTTCTCAAATACTACTTGACTAATACATTTCTTTAAATAAATTTAAATTTATATATGCCTCAACTAACTATTGAGCAAAATGTCGTATCATTTACATTGGTCAATTAAGTATTACTATTAATTAAAAGGCGAAAAAAACAAGCAGTATTAGCAAGTTAGGTCATCCAGCAAAAGTTAACGTAGTGGGAGGCAATTATCAACAGTGGAACTGTACTTCGAACATTAAAATCCCTTTAATTATTTTCCTACAATTTGTAGTTAATTTATTTATCATTTTAATTGTTTTTAAATATTTTAAAATATGTTATTAAAAAATTAATACTTTTATGATAAAAATTAATAAAATAAAATGTAATTAACTAGTGGTTTTTTAAATCTTGTTCTATATTGATCTCATCATTTAATAGGATTAATGAGATGAATCCAATAAACTAAATTTTTTTTTTTATAAATAATTATTACATAATATGTTATTTTTGATATATATTAATTATTATTAATTTTAAAAATTTAAAATATTATTATTAAATGTATTTTAAAATGACAAATCTAATAAACTTTATTTCATTATTTTTATAATCATTAGATGTCAAAATATTTTAATTTTACTTGCAATTAATTTTTGCAGCCACACCCGCATCAGATTATTTGGTTATATTCATCATTTCTTTAAATTTATTAAATTTAGATTTTGATAAATTAAAATCATGTCTACACAAATTTTTCTAAAACTATATTAAAATATTAGAGGATGGTGAATATTATGATATTAAAATTGAAGTTGGGAAGATCCTGACGTGAAAATATTCCGCGCGCATAAGGTTATTATTTTGTGTAATCGTTCTCCATTTTACGACATGCCTAACCTTTGATGATGTCTCCCTGGTTCATATAAATAACCAAAGTTTTCGGCGGACGCCTTTCAAATTATTTTAAGTTACGTTGTTTACGTTTGACGTTTTATTTTCTTTGTGATGTTTTTAATTTCAAAATTTTTATTTAGATACATTTACGGTGGTGTCATTTCGTTAAATGAGCATGAAGTCTTGGATATTTTAAAGATATTGGCTGCTGCAGATGAGCTTCTTTTTCAAAAACTAGTTAAATATTTACAAAAGTATTTAATCGAAAATAAGGTTGAATGTATTGAACAAAATTTTTGGTCTTACCTATAGTATTAGCATTCAATCGAATTAAAACGAATTCTTATAATAATATGACGTCATCTCCGAAAATTTATTTAGAATATAGCTCTTGTAATACAACTAAATGCTTAATTATTACTTTTCGCGAAATTTGAATCGTACCGTACCGTACTTTATAATATTTATTAACCAGACCGCGGTACGAACTTATTCTATAAATTCGTATCTGTCATATGAATAGACGTTATATAACAACGTGAATTATTAATTAAATTTTAACCGATTTATGATAAATTTTTTTATTTCAAAAAAAAAAAAAAATTAATAAAGGACAATTGCATCACATATTAAGCAATGTTTTTTCTTTTGACAACCACCATCAAAATGATCTACAAAATAGTGACAAAGCGAATCGGATCGATCTTACTTTTTTAAGTTAGAAAGGAAAAAATTCGTCATAAAAAGGAATGATAGTCGAGGGCTGAAATTTATTTGAATTTGATACAAAGCAACAACATTTCACAACGAAATTAATGAGAAAAATAATCGTAAAATGGTCTTAAAACATAACTTAAAAAAAGATTTGAAAGACTTGAATGAAAGAATCAAAGATTTAGAACAGAGCAAAAAGAAATCCAACGATGAAAATCAATTACTACTCTCCTTTTTATCGAATGAAATAGGTAGTAATGATTTAAATGATTTAAGAAATTTATTAGCAGGGCAAAAACTTACGGAGATCTTAGCTGAATTAGAAAACCGAAAGCAAGTTATGCAAAACTTTAACATAGATTTAGCGATAAAACGAGAGGAATTATCAAACGTAGGCTCTCTATCTAAATATTTTAAAGAACAGATAAAAGCGCAAGAAAAAGAAACCATCAAAGAGCGAGATGAAGTAATCAAAACCAATCAGGAAATAATTAGTAATTTAGAAAAAAAGATTAGAGAACAAGAAGAAAAAAGCAAAGAAATTATTAATTATTTGGAAGAAATGATTAAGGAGCGAGACGACAAAATTAAAATCAAACAAGAAACAATTAGTAACTTAAATGGGAAAATTAAGGAGCAAGAGAAAGAGATTTATTTAAAGGAAAAGATTAGAGAGCGGGAAAAAAATATCAAAAACCCAAGCATTAGAATATATTTACGATTTTATTAGCGGATTAACTATTACTAATACAAATAAGGATCATATATTAAATGCTCCAGGTGGATTACAAAGATATCAAAAATTAAAAGCACTTCATTTCTCTGATACTCAAATATCTTGTTTACCAACCTTGCCTAACTGCTTAACAACTCTCCGCTGTGATTGTACACAAATAACTGGTTTACCAACTTTACCCGACTCCTTAACAACTCTTAATTGCTCTAGTACGCTAATAACAAGTTTACCAACGTTACCAAACTCCTTAACAATACTCGATTGCCGTGATACCCAAATAACAATCTTACCAACATTACCCAACTCCTTAACAGAACTCTATTGTTATAAAACTCAAATAACTAGCTTACCAACCTTACCAAACTCAACGAAACTCAGTTGCCTTGATACCCAAATAACTAGCTTACCAACCTTACCAAACTCCTTAACAGAACTCTATTGCTATAATACCAAAATAAATAACTTACCAACCTTACCAAGCTCCTTAACAATACTCAGTTGCAATAATACCAAAATAAATAGCTTACCAACCTTACCAAACTCTTTAACGGAACTCTATTGCCATGAAACTCAAATAATAAGCTTACCAACCTTACCAAACTCCTTAACGAAACTCAGTTGCCATGAAACTCAAATAACTAGTTTACCAACCTTACCAAACTCCTTAACAGAACTCTATTGCTATAAAGCTCAAATTAAAAGCTTACCAAACTCCTTAACGAAACTCAGTTGCTTTGATACTAAAATTACTAGTTTACCAACCTTACCAAACTCCTTAATGATCCTCGGTTGCAATAATACCAAAATAAATAGCTTACCAACCTTACCAAACTCCTTAACGAAACTCAGTTGCAATAATACCAAAATAAATAGCTTACCAACCTTACCAAACTCCTTAACGAAACTCAGTTGCTTTGATACCAAAATAACTAGCTTACCAACCTTACCAAACTCCTTAACGGAACTCCGTTGCGATAGAACTCAAATAACAACCAACCTTACCAAACTCCTTAACAGAACTCTATAGCTATAAAACTCAATTAAAAAGCTCACCAACCTTACCAAACTCCTTAACGAAACTCAGTTGCTTTGATACCCATATAACTAGCTTACCAACCTTACCAAACTCCTTAACAATGCTCTGGTGTTTTGATACACAAATAAATAGCCTACCAAATTTACCCAATTCCTTAAAGAATATCAAACCTGAATCTTTAAAAACTCAATACTCTAATAATGATTCTACAAAATCTACCTATCAATTACCTTCTAACTATTAAGCTTTCTTGCAATTCGTAATGTTATTTAAGATTATGTAGCATTCAAATTATTTTTTAATTATCTTTCCTTTTTTATCTTATAAATTATTTTTCGGCAGCAATATTTAAATTGTGAATTTTATATTATTCTTTCTCATTCTATAAATTTTATCTATTGATTCCAACATTAATAAAAATTTTATCAAAGACAATAACATTTAAAACATCTTGATAAACTTGAAAAAACACAAGGTTAATTGTTTTTATAAACTAATTTGAGCATTTTATTCATTAAAATTAATTCTTTAAGGTTAACTACTTCAAAAAAATAATTGTCTTTTACAATGAGAATAAATAAGATCCGACTATTTTTTTTTTAAACCAACATTTCCTAACAAAGTTCCTATTTTACAGTTGTTTGAATGTTTATCGATTCCTTCCGAATTTTCTACCCGCGATGCAGGCGTTGATCTTTCGATCAGATCCTTTCGATTTTAATTATATATTATTTTTTTCTAATTAAAATTATTTATTTACAGTATATATTCTTATTCTCCTTAAACCAAAACTTTTACAAAATTAATTCTTTTTCAAATTAACTCATTTATTTCATTATAAAGTTTGAATAGCAAACTGATAAATCAAAATCTCGTCACCCGATGATCAAATTTGCCTTTTAGTTGTAATGGGTCATGTTTAATTTAATTCATTTTTAACTAAAATATAAGTACACAAGGTATTTATCATGATTAATATTTTCTGCAATTTGATACCAATGATTATTTTCTTATCGGCATAACGGGACGAAGTATTCCTTGTGGTTGTTATTGTTACATCCCCGCAAATGCTGATCCAAATGTTAAGTTTGTCATGCAAAAACAAAATATTTTTTTAAAAAAGAAAAGTTATGTCTTCGTATAGTAAGACAAATTTCTAACTAAACAATTAATGTGCTTTCTAACTTACCTTTGCATTGATGCAATCTATCACTCGAACGAATATATTCCGCAAGATATGTTTTCATTATTTGTGTAGAGTATCCGTTAATCCTAATTGATCTTTACTTTGTTTATTATATCCACGCAATTTATTTTTATTGAATATTCTCATCAAATAATAAATACTTTAAATTAAAAAAATCGATTAATTTTTTTTAATACGATATAACCATTAATCGGATCGAATTATAATAGCTACAATTTCAGTAGGTTAAGCAATTTTTCCAAAATTTCAGCACATTGAATTTTTATCGTATTGATGTTGGTTTGGGTATACTGTACGATGATAATCAAAATTAAGTAAAAGCCTTCATTTTTATTTTATTTATTTTTTATGCTCGTTTATTTTTTAGACTTATTAATCAAATACGATTATAAGCCTTTTCTGATTCACATGAATCATTGGAATATATTTATATTATTTTGTATAAAATATAAATTAAGTCAATCGATGACGCTATACATCGTATTAGATGACGCAATAGCATTTGGCGAAGATTAGAATAAAATGAAACTTATATAGATTATTTGCTACACGAATATTTTCTTTGTTAATTTGAATTTTACTATTAAAAGATTTTTAAAAGGGGCAACAGCCGTGATCAATTTATTTAAAAATTTTTCAAAATTTAAAATTTAATGCACTGCACTTTTTCAAGGAAAAAAGGAGTAATTAATAAATCTTATAATTCTAGCTTACTTAAATGAATTGCAAATAGTAATTATGAAGAATCAGCATGTCTAACACACAAGTCTAACTCTATTAAAGAATTCAATTAAACCAACCAAAAATAAAAAGAAGATTGTTGAATCTATTTAAATTTATTCAATATACTGAGAAACTGAAGTACATTGCCTTTAAAGTTGCCGGGAAAACCCGGAGGTTTCGAAAGGCATCGAAATCGAAACCCGTCGAAACGTTTTGCCAAATATTTTTATTAAAGGCAAAATTGCGAAAGTTTCGACGGGTGGCAAAAGTTTCGACGGATGGCAAAACCCATCGAAACCTTCTGATAATAAAATACAATACAAAATTTTGAATTTTTGAATTTATTATTTTCGTATAACGAGTGAGCAAATCGTATATAGCAAAGATCACTTTCTTTTAAAATATCGTATAGATAAAAAAAAAAAAATCAAAAATTTTACATATTGATCATCAAGTCCAGTTATATCATTTATTTCCCTTACTTTCTTCTACTTCATCCATAAACTTTCATTTGAAAAATCATCTAAAGGTTGGAGCCAGATACGACATTCTGATTTAAACCCAGATATCCGCAGGGTGTATAATTTATTAAGCTTTAAAAAACTTTATTTAATCTGCCGGATCCGATTTTTAAATTTAAATAAATCCGGATATAAAAATAAACCCGGTTCCAACCTCTATAATCATCTACTTCATAAGGTAATTTTTTCTAATTCTTCAACAAGTATCAGTGCTTCCAATTTAAAACCTGCTCGGTAAATAGTGTATTATTTTGAAAACTTTGTTCTAATTTAAAATTAAAAGCAAAAAAATCAAAAATCGTTTTATATTCTACATTGTATTATAATCAACCTGTTAAACCGTCAAATTCGCAAAGTTGTTATCGAAAATTTCGATACTTTCGAGACCCATCGAAACCGTCGAAACCCATCAAAACTCATCGAAACTGTCGAAACCCATCGAAACTCGAAATAATTCTGAAAAGTTTCGACTTTTGCCAAAATGGGTTTAGGGTTTTGCCCCGCAACTATAATTGCCTGATAAGGAAAGGTATATGCAATATGACATTATCAAAACAATAATTTAACTATGTTTTTAAAATAAAATTGTTCAGAATTGAGCTAAAGAATTATACTTGCGGCAAATCATTTAAAAGTTCGCAAATACAATAAAAAAACCTTAATTATTAATGAGCAATGAGCATGAGCTTTAGAATATGCAATCAGTCAGATTTTATTGACTAAGTTCATCTGCTTAACTATGATACACAGGTTGTATCCAAAGCCATTTTAAAATTTTGTAAAAAAACGAATTCAAAAAATTTAAAAAATTTAAACAATCAATCAATAAATAAATAATCTTTATTTGATATAATATAATTTCTGAAGATTAATATTTAATTTTATAAATTAGGAAACTACCTATTGTATACTTGACTAAGATAAGTTCTAATTGAAAAATTTAAACAAATGCAATGAATATTCACGGTTATGATATAATGCATGATTATAAAAATATCGTATAAGTATTTCATAAATCACCCTGTTCAATAATTTATCTATCATCAATAACAATCTAATTCTATCGGTTGTTTATATAAATTCGTTGGTATCTTTCCAAGTTTATAAGGGATGCTAATGGTCACGGTGACCGATATCTGTCCAAAGGCTTCTAACCGACCGGTTGACTAACCGATTTGACTGGCTGACAATCATATTTTATTTAGTAAATAGCCCTTTATATAATATAAAGTTTTGAAAATTAAAAGAAAAATCTTAAAATGCTGCGCCACTTAATAAATAAATAAAAACTTGAAAAAAAGTTCTTTTTTATAAAGAAGTGTTAAAAAAAAATGCTGAAAATTAAAATTATATTGTTCGGTTAAATAAAAACCTTTTAATAAGCCAAATAATTCTTTTATTATTAACTGATCGGTTGGTCAAGGCCTTTGACCAACTGTTACCATCACT